CCTGGGACAGGTGCTGGGTTTCCCTGCCAAGAAAAGACAATGACTTTGTCCTCACATACAGAGAGTGAGGAGGTCACAGGCAAATCAATGCAAGCCAGCCAGGTCCTTGCTGTGAAGAGGGAACACGACCGTAAGTGCCCAACGGTAGTATGTATGAAAAACACGCATCATCAACACGGATGCAGTCCTCAACCAGAACGTCATCGCTCCTCATCTCCCCCTGATTCGAAACGCGAGAATGAGAGCAATGTAGTGGCCAGGTCGACCACGTTCATGAGCACGCTACTTGCCTGAAAAGAATCTGGTCAAGTTTCTGCTCCAGGTTCAAGCCCTGGAGACCACCAAGGATATTCTATCTCAAGTCGGTATCCTATCGTATCGCGTCTTTCCAGGCCTGCAGCAGCAGTAGCAGCAAAAAAGCACCTCCTAACTTCACGAGGAAAAAAAAAAAAAAAAAAAAAAAAACATCTACTGGCTGCGGTTGCTTATCTGACATGCATGTTCATTCATGTTTCGAGTAGAGCATCAGTAGTTGGGAGTGCAGGAGACCGAACTAATCAATCAACCCCAGTTTAATGACCAAGATTGTAGACCTGCAAAGATACAGGCCGTCGCTGCACTACATGACACAAATGTGTGGAATGGCGAGTGTATCTTCCGCTTGAAGGTGGAAATATACACTCGACATTCATGCTCTCTCGTCCTTTTCACATTGGCGAGCGGTGGAGCGAGGTCTATGTTATCAGCTGCATATTATTAGCAGCGGTAACAAAGGGCCTCGCTCCACTACTTTCGACATGCACAAAAGACAAAAAATCATGGCGGTGTATCTTTCCATGTTCTAGCGGAAGATTCACTCTCTTTTTGCCCATTTCGAGAGTAGTGGAGCGAGGCCCATAAAGTGCACAAAAAGATTAGGAGCTCAATAATCAGTGCAAATAGGAAAAGGGCAGGAGCATCCTGTGAGTGGGAAAATCAGTGGTAGCAGGCCAATCAAGGACATAAATTATGGCCCTCTATTTGCCACAAACCAGTCCCACTATCGACTGTCAAGATTGTACAGGGTAAAATAAAAAAATAAAATAAAAAATAAAATAAAA